AAAGAGAAGATTCAGTGACAGCCATCTTGTGTGGAGGGCACACTGCCTCTCACACAAGCAGTGTCTTCTTATCTTAAAGCAAATAGCCAAAAACTCAGGAGACCACCTTATCCCTGTGCTGCTCCAGTAATAAAATAATAACTTCTCCAGATCTCCTTTGAGCCCAAATTCTGAGCTCATGGTCAGCCAGGCTATGTGACTGGAGACTCTTTTATCACTCTGCCTTCCTTTAATCCTATTTAATCTGAAGTCAATGTCTGCATCCCTGAAGATAGATGATGTACCCAACTGCTGTCTTCCAACAGGTGCCATGTCACACATCTCCTTTCTATACCTCTCACCATGTCTCTTTATTTGCCATATGAGGGTGAGTGGCCTGACTTAACTTGGGCTCCTGGACTTCAGGCCTGAGATCTAAAAGCCAAACCTGGGGGCTGAGGATGTGGCTTATTGGTAGAGCGCTTGACTAGCATGTATGAAGCCCTGGGTTCGATTCCTCAGTACCACATAAACAGAAAAAGCCAGAAGTGGCACTGTAGCTCAAGTGGTAGAGTGCTAGCCTTGAGCACAGAGAGGCTCAGAGACAGTGACCAGGCCCAGAGTTAAAGCCTCAGGACAAAATAAAAAATAAATAAAAATAAAAACCAAAACTGTCCAACCTTTGCCCCAAGGGGAGACATTATCTTTATTATCCTGGTTAGGAAACAAAACAGGGCTTCTCTGGGGAGGGAAGAGAGATCTTATTAAGCTTCAGTATAACTGAAGAGCCCGCCTAGAATCTCTCCAGAGATACTCATTGTCTTTATAAACAAATCTACCCTCTACCCTGAAGGAAGACACTAGTCTAGCTTCTAAACCTGTTTGTTTCTAGACAGCCTCAAAAAGAGAATGCATATTGGTGGGATAAAAAGAAGTAAAACCTTATCTAACATGGGAAGGAATGGTATATATAACTAATACATTTGCCAGGTATCTTAACTAGTTCTTGTAATCCTAGCTGCCCAAGAGGCTGATATATGAGAATCAAGTTGTTCAAAGCCAGCCTGGGCAATAAACTGTGAATTTTTTTGTTGTTGTTTTTGTTGGTCATGGGGCTTGAACTCTGGGCCTGGGTGCTGTCTCTTAGTTCTTGAGCTCAAGGTGAGCGCTCTACCACTTGAGATACAACGCCACTTCCAGTTTTCTAGTGGTTTATTGGAGAAAGGAGTCTCAGGGTCTTTCCTGTCCAGGCTGGCTTTGAGCCGAGATACTCAGATCTCAGCCTCCTGAGAAGCTAGGATTATAGGCATGAGCCACCAGCGCCCAGCTGAAACTGAAATTCTTTTTTTTTTTGGTCCGGTTGTGGGGCCTGAACTCTGGGCCTAGGTGCTGTCCCTCAGCTCTTCAGCTCAAGGCTAGCGCTCTACCACTTGAGCCACAGCGCCACTTCCGGCTTTTTTCTTTTTGCTTATGTGGTGCTGAGGAATCGAACCCAGGGTCTCATGCATGCAAGGCAAGTGCTCTACCACTGAGCCACCTTCCCAGCCCTGAAACTGAAATTCTTATCTCCAATTAATCCCTCAAAATCTGGAAGAAGTGCTATGATTCAAGTGGTAGAGTGCTAGCCCTGAGCAAAAAAAGGGTCAGTGCCAAGGCCTTGAGTCCAAGTCCCGATACCAGCACAAATAAAAAATAGTAGTGTAAGCCAGGCTCCAGCAGCTCATGCCTGTAATCCTACCTACTCAGGAGGCTGAGATCTGAGTATCCCGCAGTTCAAAACCAGCCCAGGCAGGAAAGTCTGTGAGATTCTTATTTCTAATAAACCACAAGAAAACTGGACCGACAAAAAATAATAATAAAATAAAATAAATAGTAGTGTAAGTGCATTAGTTAGAAAGATAGATGCGACCTTAGAACAAACAGAAAACTTGAAAGTAGCTATGTTTGGGAGACAGAACAGGGTGAAGGAAAGGGTGGGTTTTTATTATATGCCTTTGGCTTCTGGTTACTTGGTCTCCACACAGCTAAACCCAATGTATGGTAATGAGGTCTTATTTAGTCTTTCATCAACAGCTTCCATCTTGTGGATTATTCCATTCTCTTTGAGATACCTGTGGTCTTCACACCACACTCTGGTTTTCCTCTGACCTCATCTTGTCATTTTCTGCTGGCTCCTCTTGGGCTTCACCTCCTAATGTTAAATATTCCAGGCTCCATCCCAGGTGCTCTCATGGCTTTATATGCTGAGACATCTCAACTTTTATCACCAGGAGCTCATTTAATTTTTATTTTAATTAGTATTTTTTTCACGCCTATCATCCTAGCTACTCAGAAGGCTGAGATCTGAAGACTCAGAAGGCTGAGATCTGAGGAGCGTGGTTCAAAGCCAGCCTGGGCAGGAAAGTCCGTGAGACTCTTATCTCCAATTAACCACTAGAAAACCAGAAGTGGCCTTGTGACTCAAGTGGTAGAGTGTTAGCCTTGAGCTGAAGAGAGGAGGGACAGTGCACAGGCCCTGAGTTCAAGGGGAAAAAAAAGAAATTTCTGATTAATGGAAGATAAAAGAGTCTCCTGGATTTGTCTGCCTGGGCTTTGTATCTCTATCCTCAGATCTCAGCCTCAGGCATCAGCACCCAGTTTAAAACATTTTTGGGGATAGGATCTCACTATGTAACTCAGGCTGGCCTCAAACTCCTGATCTTCCGTCCTCAACTTCCCAAGTGCTGGGGTTGTAGGCATGCACCACCAAGCCTAACAGAGTCTTATTATTTTAAAGTGGCTCCATCTTGTCAGGAAGGCTGTTGCTTACTCATTAAAGAACAGAGTAGACACTAGACATTCTGGACCAGATAATTGTCAAGGGATGTTCTGTCTATTATTGTCCCTTAGCAGTACCCCCAGCTTCTTTTCACTAGATGTGCATAGCATCCTCCAGTTATTACAATCAAAAATATCTCTAGGCATTGCTCAATGTCCCCTGGGACACAGCATCCCTCCTAGGGGCTGAGAACATTGTTGCAGAGGATCAAAGAACAGGACTGTAGGGAAGCTGGCAAGAAGGAATATATGTGTGAGGGTGGAAGGGGCTGAGAGAGCAAACATTAACGTTCTTTGTTGTCTCTTTTTATTTTGTCTTTGTTCTCGTTTAGGTTATTTAAAACAGCCCAAGTCCTCTGGGAACATGGTGTTTTAGTGTCAGTTGTACCTCTTGTGCATCTCAGGGTGATAAGCTGGGAGGTATTTGGAGAACATGAATGCCTTCTACTGGCACACAAAGAACTCTGGGAATCACTGAGATCAATTGCTCTGTTTCTCTTATTTATTTATTTATTTATTTATTGCCAGTCCCAGGGCTTGAATTCAGGGCCTGAGCACTGTCCCTGAGCTTCTTTTGTTCAAGGCTAGCACTCTATCACTTGAGACACAGCACCACTTCTGGCTTTTTCTGTTTATGTGGTACTGAGGAATGGAACTCAGGGCTTCATGCATGCTAGACAAGCACTCTACCACAAAGCCACATTCCCAGCTCCTCTTTATTTTTTTAGTGTCAGTTGTGGGGCTTGAACTCTGGGCCTGGGAGCTGTCCCTTAACTCTTCAGCTCAAGCTGAGTGCTCTACCACTCCAGATTTCTGGTGGTTAATTGATGATCAGAGTCTCCCAAACTTTCCTGCCTGGGCTGGCTTTGAACTGTGATCCTCAGATGTCAGCCTCCTGAGTAGCTAGGATTACAGGTGTGAGCCACTGGCACCGGGCCTCTTTATATTTATATTTTTATTTATTATTATTTCTTTAATGTGCCAGTACTGGGGCTTGAGCTCAGGGCTTGATTGCTGTGCTGTCCCTTCATTATTTCGACTTAGGCTAGGGTTCTACCACTGGAGCCACAGCCTCTGCTTCTGGTTTTGTGGTAATAACGGTCTCAAGAACTTTCTTTCTGGATGGGAAGGTGGCTCAGTGGTAGAGCACTTGCCTTGCATGCATGAGGCCCTGGGTTTGATTCCTCAGCACCACATAAGCAAAAAGAAAAAAGCCAGAAGTGGCGCTGTGGCTCAAGTGGTAGACCGCTAGCCTTGAGCTAAAGAGCTGAGGGACAGCGCCCAGGCCCAGAGTTCAGGCCTCACGACCGGACCAAAAAAAAAAAAAAAAAAGAACTTTCTTTCCTCATCTAGCTTTGAACCAAGACCCTCAGATCTCAGTCTGTTGAGTAGTTACGATTACAGGAGTAAGCAGTAGTGTACCTTGATCAGTCATTATAAAGGGCAATGGTCTGAATCAAAGCTGAGTTCTTTGTGCCCTTCTGAACACTGTAATATGTTAAGGAATAGGGGCAAGTGAAATTCCAGAGAGCAAGAACAGTGTAGCATGTCTGGTAGCAAATGTGCTGGCTGACATGGGGGCTGGTTACATTACATTCTTTAAAAAAAAAACAAAACAGTCCTGAGGCTGGGAAGGTGGCTCAGTAGAGCGCTTGCCTTGCATGCCTGAGGTCCTGGGTTCAATTGCACAGCACCACATAAACAGAAAAAAAAGCTGGAAGTGGCACTGTGGCTCAAGTGGTAGAGTGCTTGCCTTGAGCTGAAGAGCTGAGGGATAGCGCCCAGGCCCAGAGTTCAGGCCCCACAACCAGACCCCAAAAAAAATTTTTTTAAATTAAAATAAATAAATAAATAAATAAAACCAGTCTTGGGGCTTGAACTCAGAGCCTGGGCACTGTTCCTAAGCTTCTTTTGCTCAAGGCTAGCACTCTACCACTTGAGCCACAGCCCCACTTCCGGCCTTTTCTGTGTATGTGGTACTGAGAAATGGAACCCATGTTTCATGCATGCTTGGCAAGCACTCCCAGCCCCCGAGAGTAATTTTGAATAGCATTTCCTTTCAGTCTTCAGGAGTCCCAGATTGAATAGTTTCTTATAGCCTCACTATACTCATCAGAAGTTCTTAACCAATTTCTGGGTTTATTTTTTCAATCCTGTAGATTCCATTGCCAAACCCAATCCTTCTAGAAACACCATTCAGCCCTCTAATTCTCTTTTTCTGTCCATACTTTGATCTGCCTGATCAGGAGCAAAGATTCCTGAGGTGCTAATACCAGAAGCTGTATACAGCTCAGTTCCTCCACAGAATCTTCTTCATAAAATACCCTCTGGTCCAGATTTCCTTTCACCAGTGGCCCAAGCAGGGTATACTGGGTGCAGTGCATGGGCTCCTCTGTGAGGCCAGAGCCCAGTAGAACATGCGCCTTCTGTAAGTGGTACATCCCATTTTCCTCAGAGCCTGTCAGCACTGCTACCCGCAGGATCTTGTGGGGTTTATCCAGAATCACTGTCAAGAAGTTTCCTTCCCAAACTTCCACACCAATGAAGTGGTCCTGGTTCAGAATATAAGCATAATAAGGCATATAAGAAACTGCTGGGATCATATTGGAGACCACAACTCCAACAGGATTGTCTGGATTCCTGAAGACCACTGCCTGCTCCACAGGAAAGCACGCTCTTTCAGACTCTAGATAACCAGTCAGTCGGTAGAAAATGGATGAACTGAAGTGAATTGGGACATTTTGATTCAAGAGTAGCCGGAATTCAGAAAGGAGCAGGTGGGTGGGCGTGTCCATGGGGAAGAGGAAGAAGAAAGAGATGAGGCGGGACAAGTCACTGGTGTGGAAGACTCTCCCAGAGACACTCAGCATGGAGAACTCCAGGATCACCCAAGACAGGTCTTCCCAGGCTGCTAACGTCCTGTAGATGGTAGACACAAAGCCGGAGGTACAATAAACATTATCTTCCAGCAACAGGAAGTAATCAGACAGGTTGTTTGCGAAGTTCATGAGGAGGGCAAAATCTGCTCTCTGCTTGGAGTAAAGCTCGCCACACGGTGAGCCATCATCCACTGTCCTCACAAGGGAACCACGGAGAAGACCATGGACCACGAGCAGTTCCTGGGCCTCAATGAACCATGTGAAGAGGTTTGAAATCTTGGCAACTGTTTGGCTGAGCCACTGGGGGTCAGAGTCTGACAGGAGGACCAGCACGAGAGGATGCTCCAGTTCATATTTTGAAGAAGCTTGGAACAGGGACTTTAGGGTGTCCAGGAGGTAGTTGCCATGGGAACGCTGCACTGAGGCAATCCCCACAGTCAGCAGCTCTGGGTGGGAAGAGGAAGAAGAACAAGATAGGATGATAAAAAGGGCCTCTTCCCCCAAAGGCTGGTCCTGGAGCCCAATTCACATCTCTTTCTCCCCAGAAGAGGCTGAGAAATTAATATGTGATCTGAAGCTGGCAAGTGGTTTCATTTTGATCAGCACTTTGAAAAGCTGGTGAGGGGGTGCTACCAATGACAAGACTGGGAAATAGAGCTGTGGTTCAAGTGGGAGAGTACCAGCCTGGAGCAAAAAAGCTAAGGGACAATGTCTGGGTCTTGAGTTCAAGTCTCAGCACCAGAAAACCAACCAACCAACCGACTAAAACCCAACAAGGCTCTATCTTACCTGGGAAACACCACTTTGTAGTAAAGGCAAAATTTTCTGGCTTGGCAAATTAGCTTTATCTTGACCTTCAGAGTTATCTCAGCTAGCATACATCACCCCAACCTGTATTAGAAGGGTCTCAGGCTGGGAAGGTGGCTCAGTGGTAGAGCATTTGCCTTGCATGCCTGAGGCCCTGAGTTCGATTCCTCAGTACCACATAAGCAAAAAGAAAAAAGCCAGAAGTGGCGCTGTGGCTCAAGTAGTAGAGCGCTAACCTTGAGCTGAAGAGCTGAGGGACAGCGCCCAGGCCCAGAGTTCAGGCCCCACGACTGGACCAAAAAAAAAAATTACGGAAGTGGCGCTGTAGCTCAAGTGGTAGAGCGCTCGCCTTGAGCTGAAGAGCTGAGGGACAGCGCCCAGGCCCAGAGTTCAAGCCCCACGACCGACAAAAAAAAAAAAAAAGAAGGGTCTCATGGACTCCTGTAAGTCCCAGGGTCTAGCAGGCCAATGCACCTCCCCTTTCCCCCTTTAACCCACACTTTTTGCTCTCCCTCCCCTGGGTTCCTATCCTATCTTCACCTTGCAGGGGACCTGTCATGATGGCTCTATCACTTGGCCACTGATGGGAGGAAAATGCATTCTGCACCCAGTTCTGATCCTTGATCATCAGAGCATCTTCTTTTCCCTTCTTTGTTGCCAATTCACTCCCAAATGCTCTCTTTGATCTCCTCCTTTTTTTTTTTTGTCAGTTGTGGGGCTTGAACTCAGAGCGTGGGCACTGTCCCTGAGCTCTTTTGCTCAAGGCTAGCACTGTATCATGTGGAACCACAGCTTCACTTCTAGTTTTCTAGTAGTTCGTTGGAGATTAATCTCATGGACTTTCCTGCCCTGGCTGGCTTTGAACCATGATCCTCAGATCTCAGTCTCCTGAGTAGCTCGCCACCAGTGCCAGGCTTTCCTTCCCCTTTCTTATGGAAAAACATCCTTCAGCCTTTGCTACCTGAAGTTTCTCTCCCACTTACTCACTCTTCCTCCAGGGAGGGGCTCCAGCCAGGAGGGTGTAGTTAGCATGTTTGAAAAGGGGGAAGGTTTTCTGCATCTCCTTGAAGGCATCCAGATGGTTCTTGATTTCAGAGTTCATTTGTTCCTGAATTATCTGCCCAATTATTTTCTCCTTTTCCTTTTGAGGATAAGATAGATACATGTCACATGGAGGGGATGCCCAGGTCCTCTGGAGACAGTTGAGGAGCATATCCCCCTTATAGTGAGCCCCAGGACCCAGTGTGAGTGTCTGCCCTTAGCTATCTGCTTTCTCCATCTCATCCTGAGAGCACACTAAGCTGTCTGGTAGAGGCCAGGAAACCATGGGCCTAAAACAGGGCAGTGTGCTTGTCTTGTGTGAAGTGACTGGAAAGGACCAAGGCTCACATAGAGTGAGGAATCACTTGATCTGCTTTATTGCACATGTCATTTTTCTTTTTTTGCCAGTCCCAGGACTTGAACTCAGGCCCGGGCACTGTGCCTGAGCCTCTCTATGCTCAAAGCTAAATTCTACTACTTGAACAACAGCACCACTTTGAGCTTTTTCTGTTTATGTGGTACTGAAGAATGGAACCCAGGGTTTAATGCATGCTAGGCAAGCACTGTACCACTGAGCCACATTCCCAGCCCTTGCACATGTCATTTCTTGGCCATCATCATGTGACTCAGGATGGGCCTGTGCTGGGATCTGGGAGAGGTGCTAGAGGCAGGAAATGTGAAGGCTGTGCTCTTGCTCAGTGTAATTACACACCTCTGTATCACTTCTCCCTGTGCCAACCTGTTCTTGCACAATGTGCATCCCAAAGCCTCAGCCTGGCTGTGTGGGTTTCCATCCCAGGGAGTTTCCTTCTAGTTCTTTAGGTGAGGAAGGGGAAGTGTATCACCTGCCCCTAGGACCCCTGGCAAAAGAGGTGGCAGCAGATAGGGGGTTTATCTGCTGTCCTGCAATTAGCATGGTCCTGTGGAAATGTCTTGCCCTCTTTATGCTACTATGTTCACTCCTTAGATCCTATCATTGTAAGTCTGGGACATTTCTCTCTTCTCAAATACTCAGTATCTGAATTGGACCTCTGGATATAAGCTCAGCATGCTTTCCATGGTCGCTGTCTTTTGAGGCAGGTACTGTTTTTTTTGTTTTTGTTTTGGTTGGTTATGGGGCTTGAACTCTGGGCTTGGGCGCTATCCCTGCACTCTTAAGCTCAAGGCAAGCGCTCTACCACTTGAGCCACAGCGCCACTCCTGGTTTTCGTGTGTGTGTGTGTGTGTGTGTGTGTGTGTGTGTGTGTGTGTGTTTTGGGGTCCAGTTGCGGGGCCTGAACTCTGGGCCTGGGTGCTGTCCCTCAGCTCTTCAGCTCAAGGTTAGCGCTCTATCACTTGAGCCACAGTGCCACTTCTGGCTTTTTTCTTTTTTGCTTATGTGGTGCTGAGGAATCGAACCCAGGGCCTCATGCATGCAAGGCAAGTGCTCTACCACTGAGCCACCTTCCCAGCCCCTTCTAGTGGTTTTTATTGGAGATAAGAGTCTCATGGACTTTCCTGCCCAGGTTGGCTTTGAACTGTGATCCTCAGATCTCAGCCTCCTGAGTAGCTAGGATTACAGGGGTGAGCCACTGGTGCCCGGCAGGTACTGGGTTTTAAGTCAGGGCTTCTTCTTTTTATTTTGTGTGTTTGATGCAAGTACTGGGGTGGGAGCTCATGGCCTGGGCAATGTCCCTGAGCTTCTTTTGCTCAAGACTAGCGCTCTACCACTTGAGTGATAGCACCATTTCTGACTTTTTGTGTTACTGAGGAATTGAACTTGACTTCATGCATGCTAGGCGAGCATTCTATCAGTAAGCCACACTCCTAGCCCGTGGCTTCTTGCTCTTGTTTGACTTTTTCCAAGCAAGGGTAGTGCTCTAGCATTTGACCACACCTTCACTTCTAGCTTTTTTGGTGCCCATTCTTGGCTTTGAGCAGAGATCTTCAAATCTCACTTTCTGGCCAGGTGCTGGTGGCTTCCGCCTGTTATCCTAGCTACTCAGGAGGCTGAGATGTGAGGATCACAGTTCAAAGCTAGCCTGGGCAGGAAAGTCCATGAGACTTTTATCTCCAATTAACTACTAGAAAACCAGAAATGGCGCTTGTGGCTCAAGTGGTAGAGTGCTTGCCTTGAGCTGAAGAGCTGAGGAATGGCGCCTAGGCCCAGAGTTCAAGCCCCACAACCAACAAAAACGAAACAAATCTCATTTCCTGAGGAGTTAGGATTATAAACATGAGCCACGGGTTAGCTAAGAATGCCTTATTATCTAAGTGCTGGCAAAGTAGTCCAACACCCACTGAAACTACTCACCAGTACACTGTGCTCTGCAGTCTTGTTGACCTTTTGCAGGAAGACTCCGAGGGCTACCAAGGATGCAGTAACTAGGATGCTTCGCCACCGGAACTGGTGCAGGGTGCTCAGCCAGCAGCAGCTGTGCAGACATATAAGCAACACTGAATCCTGAGCAGATTCAGAGAGTCTGGGGTTTATTCTTCCACCCTGAAACCAGCTGCGCACCTCCAACGAGTCGTAAGCTTACCTTTTGCTGTCAGATCTTCTCTTCCCACTATGCAGAGCCATCTAAGGAAATAAAAAGGTCAAAGGCTTTGATTTTGTTCAGCTTTGGATGTGTTGCCAAGAAGAAGAAACTGAATGTTTGATGTTAATAATACTCCTCAACTTTCATGTTCAGCTAGTCTCTGAGTACATTCTATTGATTAATAAATTAGGCTTATGGGGCTGGGAATGTGGCTTAGTGGTAGAGTGCTTGCCTAGACTGCATGAAGCCCTGGGTTCGATTCTTCAGTACCACATACACAGAAAAAGCTGATAGTGGCACTGTGGCCTGGTAGTGCGCTAGCCTTGAGCAAAAGAAGCTCAAGGACAGTGCCCAGGCCCTGAGTTCAAAGCCCCAGGACTGGCAAAAAAATTCTTTAAAAAATTAGGCGTTAGGCTAGGTGTGGTGCTTCACATCTATAATACTATCTGGGAGTCCAGAATCAGGAGGATTAAAGTTTGCGGCCAGCCTACAAAAAACTATCAGGACCTCACCTCACCAAATAAGCTGTTGAGGAGGATGAATATGGTTGAAGGAGTGTTTGTAATTATGAAAATAGACCAGTGAAACCCATTGAAGTTGTTCTGGGAAGGGGGCAGGGTAAGTGATGGCTTGAGATTGATTGGAATGCATTGTGAACATGTGTGGAAAGGTACAATTAACTCTACCACCCTGCATAACTATTTTATAATGTAAGCTATACGGGGACATAGGTAGAATGATTGCAGTACCAGACTGGCCTAGGTGAAAAGCAAGCCCCTAGCTGAAAAAACAAAAACGTAAGCCTCCCCAAAACTAAAACAGCTGGAGGCATGGTTTACAAAGGTTCTGAGTCCAAACTCCAGTAATGCCTAAAAATTGAAAACAAAACCACGAGCACTAGACATAAGTAAATAATAATAATAAATTGGATCTTGTCTTTGAGTTCCATACTCACTTTTATATAGTTCCTTTCTAGGATTATGATGGCAGGCAGACCTAGGAGATTTGGATAGAATCAGAAGGACCAAGGGACAAACTTGTTGGTGCATCTCCCTTGTGGTCTTGTAAGGATGGAAATCCTAGACCAGACATTTTGATCATGTCCACATCTTTACCATGATTGGCTTATCCACTGAAGTCTTTGAGAGCTGGAGGATTTTTCCGAGCAGCAATGGTATCCAACACAGAGGAGAAAAACTTTATTATTGAGAGGCAGGGCCCGGACTGGCTCCTCTGAAGCAGCTGAGTGTAGTCACCTCGCCCAGGAGACTCCACTCCACCTGGCAACCATTGTTTCCCCTGAATGGGGCTGCTGCCTACTGGGGTCTCAAGCACCTGCTTCTGAGGGGGGGGATGGGGGGGGGGAAACAAGGTTTAAAAACCAGCTTTCCAGTCTTCATTCGGGCATTTCCTGTCAGAGCAACCATGGGGGTTCTGAGGGCTTGTAGGGAATCATTGCTGCTCTGTCCCCTGGCAGTTGTCACTCTGAGCAACTTGGTGTGTCTTCTCAAAGTCACCACAGAGCAGTCCTCAGAGGTCTAGTTGTTGTGTTGTTTTTGTTTTTCCCAGTCCTGGGGCTTGAACTCAGGACCTGGGCGCTGTCCCTGAGCCTCTTTGTGCTCAAGGCTAGCGCTCTACCACTTGAGCCCCAGCACCACTTCTGGCTTTTTCTGAGTAGTTTATAGGTGATATGAATCTCATGGACTTTTCTGCCTGGGCTGGTTTTGGACCATGATCCTCAGATCTCAGCCTCCTGAGTAGATAGATTATAGACATGAGCCATGGGTGCCCATCTAATTATCCCTTGGGCCTAAAAATGTGTGGTGTCCTCTGTGGTTTTTCTTTCTCCCTTTTTATCTGTTCTATTTAATTTTTGAGCTTGTATGTCTAATATTTTCTCTTGTTGAATAATTTTACTTATAACTATTTTTCTGACAAGTTAAGAATTATATGGAGCTGGGCACTGGTGGCTCACCCCTGTAATCCTAACTACTGAGGAGGCTGAGATCTGAGGATTGCCATTCAAAGTCAGCCTGAGCAGAAAAATCTGTGAGACTCTTATCTCCAATGAACCACCAGGAAATTGGAAGTGGCACTGTGGCTTAAAGTGGTAGAGAGCTAGCCTTGAGCTGAAGAGCTCAGGGACAGTGCTCAGGCCCAGAGTTCAAGCCCTACAATGGACCAAAACAAAACAAAGATATGAGCTGTGCACCCATGGCTCATATCTCTAATTCCAATTACTCAGAAAGTTGAGATCTAAGGATCATGAGTCAAAACCAGCAGAGGCAGGAAAGCCTATGAGACTCTTATCTCCAATAAACCACCAAAAAGCCAGAAGTGGAGCTGTGGCTTAAGTGGTAGGGCACCAGCTTTGAGTGAAAAATCTAAGGGACAGTGCCTAGGCCCTGAGTTCAAACCCCAGTACACACACACACACACACACACACACACACACACACACACACACACACAACCTTGAGAGAATCAAGCAAAAGAAATGTCCTTGTTAATTTCAAAACTTTAATATTTTGTTAACTTTGCAGACCACCTTCAGCCTAATCCCTCCAAGAACCCCCAGTGACTTTTCCATATATGATTAAATTTTACTTAGTCCAAAGGTTAATGTTTCTATCAGTCCTGAGGGCAGAACAGCTGTCACAAGTGATCTTACATACTTCACCTTCCTCCCAGACTCTTTGGACAACACCTGCTGATTCAGGATGCTGTTTATAGTATGCCCAACATGATGTAGTCTCCACAGGCAGAGCTCTGATTAACGGAATCTACCTGACCCCTCTTACGATTGATTCTCCTCTTTTAGTTCAGAGTCAGCACTTGAACTCGGGCAATATGGCAGGTGTTCAAAACCACAATTAGATGGCTGTCAGCCTTTGCTTCTTTGATGTAAAGGAAATTCCTAGTTGTAGGCATTCATGAGAACAGAGTCTTTGATGATGTTCAGGTTAGTGTAGATGGGGTTGCTCTGATAGCCAGTGTTGTTTTCCTCAGTCTTTTTGTTATTGTTGTTATTGGTCATGGGGCTTGAACTCTGGGCCTGGGCGCCATCCCTCAGTTCTTCATCTCAAAGCAAGCGCTCTACCACTTGGGCCACAGTGCCACTTCCTGTTTTCTGGTGGTTAATTGGAGATAAAGAGTTTCACAGGCTTTCCTGCCCAGGCTAGCTTTGTATGGCAATCCTCAGATCTCAGCCTCCCGAGTATCTAGGATTATAGGCGTGAGCCACTGGCCCATGACTTCCTCTAATTCTTTATCTTGAGGTAATTGACTTTGCCTTCAAAGAGGAGAAATTTCCTGTATGCTAGAAGAGGGAGGGGAAAAATTGGATCAGTTTTTTGCTGTGTGAGGTCATGAAAGTGGGAGAGAAAGTCAGCACAAGGCATTTCTTGATATAAGAGAAGGAGGGGCTGGGAACGTGGCTTAGTGGTAGAGTGCTTGTGTAGCATGCATGAAGCCCTGAGTCCGATTCCTCAGTTACCACATAAACAGAAAAAGCCATAGTGGCACTGTGTCTCAAGTGGTAGAGTGCTAGCCCCAAGCAAAAGAAGCTCAGGGACAGTGCCTAGACCCTGAGTTCAAGCTCAGGGCCTGGTTAAAGAGGGGATGGGGGAAGAAGGAAATGAACAAAGTAAGGGAAGTCTCTAGTGTGAAAGAGTTTTCCGATGAAGGCTGAGAACTCCTTAACCATCCACAATTTGTTTTCCTGGGCAGACGGTATGGTAGCAATCTGTGTGACAAATGTAGGGACACATTTCATGTCATCTTCAATCATCAGAAAATAGTCTGCATGGTTGACCACAAAGTTCATGAGGAATGCATACTCTATGTTCTGCCTGGAATGAAAGGCCACATAAGCTGGGGTGTTAGTCAAGCCAAGTTTCTTAAGGTTCTTCAAAGGAAGACAGCTTTGAAGAGGAGTATTGATCATAACTAACTGTGGCCTGGATATGTACTTTAGAGAGCTTTGAGATATTGGAGATCAGTAGGTCAAGCCATTTGGGCCCAGGGTCTACCACGTGCTCCAGAACCATGGTATGTTTCTACTTGAAAGAGGAAGAAGCAGGGGCTGGGAAGGTGGCTCAGTGGTAGAGCACTTGCCTTGCATGCTTGAGGCCCTGGGTTCGATTCCTCAGCACCACATAAGCAAAAAGAAAAAAGCCGGAAGTGGCACTGTGGCTCAAGTGGTAGAGTGCTAGCCTTGAGCTGAAGAGCTGAGGGACAGTGCCCAGGCCCAGAGTTCAGGCCCCCCAAAAAAAAGGAAAAGAAAAAAAAAAAAGAAAGAGGAAGAAGAAGAGAGACAGCAGAGTTTCCAGGAGATAGATCCCTCAGCGGGCACTGCACTGCACTGATGGAGTCCCGATGGTCCGCAGCTCTAGGATTGGGGAGAAAAAAAGGGCCTGGATTATTATTATTGTTATTGTTATTATTATTATTACTACCAGTCCTGGGGCTTGAACTCAGCCTGGGCACTGTCCCTGAGCTTCTTTTGCTCAAGACTAGCACTCTACCACTTGAGCCACAGTGCACTTCCAGCTTTTTCTGTTTATGAGGTACTGAGGAAGCGAACCCAGGACTTCATGCATGCTAGGCAAGCACTCTACCACTAAGCCACATTCTCAGCCCTTATTTAGCTTTTAAGTATCATTTATAAGAACACTAGAAAACTCTATTCTTTCCCTCTTCTCTTAATTCCATCTTCTCCTTCCTCTGTCCTCTTCCCTCCACCTCGACCCCCCACTCCTTTCTGGCTTTTTGTCATTAATTGGAGATGAGTCTTACAGATTTTCCTGCCTGGCTGACTTTGAACCAGGATCCTCAGATATCAACCTCCTGAGTAGTTAGGATTACAGGTGTGACCTACTGGTGCCTGGCCCTTCCCCCTTTTAAAAAGGGGAATACTGGGGTTTTAACCCAGGGCCTTGTGCTTGCTAGGTAGATTCTCTACCACTTGAGCCATGGACAAAGAATCAGATAATACAGAGAAATTTCATTGACAAGTACTACCAAGAATTTGAGGACATGT